CACACAAAAAAAAAACACCAGAAAACTAGAAGTGGCGCTATATGGCTCAAGTGGTAGAGCATGAGCCTTGAGCTCAAGCCCCACGACTGACAAAAAAAAAAAAAAGAGAGATCTTTCATGCGATTGTTTCAAACATATTTATAAGATTATGTCTTTGTTGCTTTGTATGTCCCTCCCCCATGGTATAACCCCTGCTTTCACTATATATGATGTTGGTATATGTGGAGGGGAAAGGAGAAAACAAATCGTTAAAACAGGGATACAGGAGGACCCATTGCAACAATGAGATGTACAAGTCATTGTGTCGAAAAACGAACTTTACAACTTTGGGGAGGGGTGGGGGGAGGATGGGAAGGGATGGGAAGGGGAAACAAAGGAGGAGGCTACAATGCTTGATAAGAAATGTACTCATTATCTTGCCCATGTAATTGTAACCCCTCTGTACAGTATTTTCACAATAAAAAAATAGTAAAAAAAAAAAAAGAGTAGTAAAAAGGGATGACATTAATAAAGATGTGTTGTACTCAAAAAACCCCAAAACTTTAACATAATTCACCATGGCCATTTCAAGAGGATTAATAAGCAAGAAGCTCCCATTTTAAAATAGAGGAAAAGGTCTCAATTGTTGAGATTCTATAGAGTGAGGTCTGAAAGACTATCTGAGGCAATGTCTGAGAAAGTACCTTTGTATCAGTACTCAAATATTCATGAAACAGAAAGCCAGAAAAATAAAAACTAAAAGGCCGTGTTCGCAGAAACACTGATAAGCTGAAATGCACTATGCCTTAGTGTGAGCTCTGAGCTTTCAGGGTTCTCGAAATAAGGGATCTAAGAAAGGATTTCAGCAGAATTGTTGACTCTGCTGGTATGCGAACACAGGAAAAGCAAGGAAAAAGGGAATGCACAAATCAATGCAGCTCTGCACCCTGGATTTCTCTAGTGCACTATTTGACAATGTATTTCCTTATTTGGAGACAAAAGAAGAACTCTGTTCCCCCAAACAATAGGAAGGCTGAGAATCTGGACAAACAAAAAGTGGTTGCGGAGATTGACACATAAAGTTTGGGAAACATTAAAAGCAAAAACAAAAACAATAATAAAAAAAATACTTCCTTAGCTGCTTTTGCTGTGGTCTGCAGTGTACTCACTACAGTCCCCCGAGACAGGAAGAGAAGGCCCTCAGAATTCATCCCTAGGTTTTTCTCACACACATATATTAAGGGAGGCACAGTAAAGTCTGCTTTGGATTAAAGTTATGAACATCAGGTTTCAAAATCAGGAACAAAATGTTTCAGGACATAGTTCAGTGTTGTCTTACCCAAACCAGAAAATTCTGGAGGCCGGACTTCTATAGTTCTAGATTACCTTATGGACTTAAGACACTGGAGAGGCAGTGGCATTTCAAGTATTAACACAACTGGGTAAAACAAGAATCAACAACTCTATTCCGACAGCAGCAAATATTTTTGAGAGTGTCTGTTAACTGCCAACAGTGCTGGCTGTGGCTGAGGTAGATGGAGTGATGTGTAGCTTTTGCTTATTAATTCAGACCACGTCCAGTACTACCTACCATTAGCCTTGCTTCGAGAGCTAAGAACACTACAGAGGGTGTGACTTTTATCTCAACGAATTATAAGCAAGGTTTTCAAAATTTCCATGCTATTTCAAGGTCCTAAAAAAAATGGTGGCTTTATTATTTTAAGACTATGGCCTAACACTTCACCTTAAGAACCACAGGGAGCTGGGTGCCAGTGGCTCATGCCTGTAATCCTAGCTACTCAGGAGGCTGAGATCTGAGAATCGCGGTTCAAAGCCAGCCCGGGCAGGGAAGACCGTGAGACTCCTATCTCCAGTAAAACCACTAGAAAACCGGAAGTGGTGCTATAGCTCAAGTGGTAGAGCGCTCGCCTTGAGCTGAAGAGCTGAGGGACAGCACCCAGGCCCAGACTTCAAGCCCCATGACCGACAAAAAAAAAAAAAAAAAAGAATCACAGGGAGTGGGCAATATTCTGATGTACTGAGTTACCTACCCATCGAATGCTGTATAACTGTGGAAAATTATGACATCTGATATTCAAAGCAATATCCTTGTATTTAAGTTAACAAAACACACTTCTACATATGAACTCTTATAGCAATGTCAGGTGAAAAACAGAATGATCTGTGATGTGTAAATAAACAAAGAGCTTGATGTATATCTTACCCTTAGCAGATGAGCTGTTTCAGTAATCTAGTTCTTTTTGTATTTTTGAGAATTTTAAAGTGATAAACTGATTACCATTCAATCATCACGTTTTTCTTCATTGTGTCAAATACATGTATCTTGTATAAAATTCGTACTGATAAGTACTTCCTTACCTTCTTCTAGCTATGAGGTAAACTTAAGATATACAATTAGATGTGCTTATAGGTCTTCTGTGTAGAAGAGATGATCTATATAACAAAGGATCTGTTTTCCTCATATGCCTTATGCCAAACAAACAAACAAAAAAGCATGTTCATTCTTTTTAAGGTCCTTCAGAGCATTCAATCATGGGGCTTGAACTCAGGGCCTGGGTTCTGTCCCTAAGCATTCTGCTCAAGGCTAGTGCTCTACCACTTTGAGCCACAGCGCCACTTCCTGTTTTCTGGTGGTTAATTGGGGATGAGTCTCACGGACTTTCCTGACTGGGCTGTTTTAGCTAGGATTACAGGCATGAGGCACCAGCGCCTAGCTCAAAGTTAACTTTTTTTTCTTCCACTTTTGCATCTATTTCAAAGCAAAATGATGCTTACATGATAAACAAGCCACCAAAATATTTTTTGTTTGATCCAATACTCAAAGAATTTAGAAATTTTATAAAAGGTTTTATTTTTAAATGTAATATATTCAAAGTACAGAATTATAAAGCAAACAGGTACAGATACAGAGTAAGACTACTATGAGAGCAATTGTCTTAACTTATGCCTTGAGAACCATCATGTATTTTAACATGCTTTGAGATACTCTGCCTTACATCTACAGGGGCAGTGGCTGATAAGTCTCAGTTCTATTTACTGGCAGGCCGGGAGATACTGAAATGAATGAGAATGTAACCCTTGTTATGTATGAGAATACTGAATGTTATGTATGAGATACTGAAATGAATGAGAATGTAACCCTTGTTATGTATGAGAATACTGAATGTTATGTATGAGATACTGAAATGAATGAGAATGTAACCCTTGTTATGTATGAGAATACTGAATGTTATGTATGAGATACTGAAATGAATGAGAATGTAACCCTTGTTAGCTCTGTATGAGATACTAGTTCATGGGAACTGTATAATTCTGCACAGTAACATCTCACTTGCTGTCACCACAGTATGTGGCATCATGCACAACTACTGAAAAGGAGTCTTGCTAACCTTTGACGTGTACTGGCCTCAAACCTGGGATTGACGGCATCAGTGACTGTGCTGGAGTGGGTTTTAAACCCAAGGCCTGTCACTCGTTAAGCAGGTCCTTACCACGGAGCCACTTCTCCAACTCTGTTCTTCACTTATTATTACTGTTGTTGATTATAGGGCTTGAACTTAGGGCCTGGATGCTATCCTGAGCTCTTTTGTTCAAGGCTAGCATTCTACTACTTTGGGCTACAACACCACTTTGGGTTTTGGAGTGGTTTATTGAAGATAAGAGTCTCATGGGGACTTTTCTGCGCGGGCTGGCTTTGAACCCCAATTCTCAGATCTCAGCCCCCTGAGTAGTTAGGATTAGAAGCGTGAGGCACCAGCACCCCGGCTTCACTTATTAGATAGGTTCTCCTTCCTGCCTGTATGCACACATGAATGGAAATCCACCTATTTGGGGGCGTCCCATCATTTCAGGCACGCCCCCTGCCTCCTTGTCTAGCCTGCCTCCTTGATGGGATGGGAGTCTCACGGGCTTCTCTGCGTAGGCTGGCCTTAAACTACCATCCTCCTGTTCTCCAGCCTTCCAGGTAGCGAGGGTTACAGACATGACCTGCTCTTGCTATCCTTAAAGGTTTTGAAACCAGGAATTGTTATACATTTCAAAAATGAAGTGTTAAAATGTGCCAACTCTTATTTTCATCAGATGTTGGGAATTTCTAACTTTCTTCTCTTTTATTTTCTGCCCTACTGAAAGGATATTTAGTACTCCCTGGTACACCAGTCTGTACACTCTATGTCAAGATTATCAATGGCAGCTTCATTCTGAGACAGACACATACAAGTGTGCGTGTGCACGCGCACACACACACACACATACACACACACTCACTCACTCACTCCGCACTCTAGCTCCAGGCAGTCTTCTACACCCCTTAATTATCTTCCATCACCAACTCTGACTCACTCTCCAGCTTTACCATCCTCTAAACCTGTATTTACACCTGTTAAGCTTCCCTGAAGCAGGGAAGAGATCACAATACTGAATCAGTTCTTCAGACAGGCATATTAAGAATACTTCTTCAATCGCATCCAGCTTAGGAGAGAATAAATATGCAACAGCCTACAGAACTCCCTCGGAGCAGTAAGGCGGTATCATGAACTGACGTAGAGCCCAGCTGCAAGGTTATACGCATCTGCCAGAGGAGGTTCTGAGTGCTGCTCAGACCCACCCATCACACAAACAATGATTTAAAGGAAATGAAAACAAGGCAAAACAGGGTGACTCACTCCAACACTCCCAATTCTATCCTGCAGCAAGAAGACGAGATAGAAAATGATTCCGGGATTAGGCCAGGGATTTCCATGTTATTTTCATTTTCAGAACCTCTGCATGGTGTTGTACTAAACAGAATCTGACTGGAGATGAACACACAGAGCTCCTCATACATCTGACAGATAAGCTCACTACTCTTGAGTATTTTTTTTTTTGTGAACAAAATGTTAAAATCAAATGTCAAAAATGGAATGATGTCAATTTTCCCCATTCCCCAAACCCTACCTCTTCTAATTTATTTCTATTACACAATAAAGTGATAATCCATTTCCTGTCCAAACAGCACTTACCTCATTGTCTGATTCCACAAGGACTTGATCATACTCGCTAAGCGCTACTAGAAACATGATAGAGGTGACATTTTCAAAGCAGTGTATCCATTTTCGTCTCTCTGACCTTTGGCCCCCTACATCGACCATTCTGCAAAGTTAACAATATTTATATTAATACCACATAAGAAAAAACTTTAAAATGTCAGTACAAATAGAGCATACTTATCAACTTGGGAAAAACAATATTTTGAAAGACAATGACCCTCCAATACTATATAATTTGCTGCTACCTAACAGAACGTCAAGACATTCTAGGTACTAAGTCATTGTTATGAGAAAATTACCAGATGAGTCTGAAAGTTATAGCTATGTAAACAATTCCTGATCTGGGTCAAGCAAAACAGTACTTAATTCTGCACTGGAAAGTCAACAGGGATGCTTTATTTGAGCTAAGTCTGAATGACAATTTGGGGAACAGAGACACTTCAGTGTCTTTTTTCTATAAAATCAAAGTAAAGATCCTTATGAGTTTCTCGAGTATGCTGGGAAGGACCACTTTCATTTAAACGATGTAAGATGCTACATATTGTGATATGAAGCACCAATCAACCAAATGCAAACATAACCCCATCTATCTTTCTCTCAGTAGATCAAACATTTGGAGGTTTTTTTTTCCCCTCCCAATACTGGCAATAATCTGGAATGGGTATAGCTACATCAGGTAAGCATGGTATAATTAGCCTCAGAGAACAAATGAGCTCACTACTCTGCTACAAATGAAGGGTATAAAATGTCAAGATGCCTTAAGGTATCACACAAAGACCAGTGCTTGTTTCTAACACATCACCTCTGAGCTGAGTTACTGCTCAGACACACGAACACCGTCACAATGATTGAGTGGTGATGTACACATGAACATAGCTAGCACTGCAGGACAGTGAACTGCCATTTCACAAAAACTGCTGAGCCCATATCTTCACTCAAATGTATTCAACGTCATGGGAAAGAAGACAAGCAGAGAATGAGAGATTTGGGTATAAATGTTTCAGAGCAGGGCTCTTTAAACATTTGTTAAAAATTACAGCTGCTCTGGATGTTTTCCTGCCACAGAGCATTAATCCTCAACCGAGAAAGCAAGATCTTCCAGTGACTGCTTATAAAAGGTTTCAGAGGGCATAAAAGAGACCTGAAGGGTGAAACAATGTATCTAGGGAGACCTACGAACTATGGACATGAAAACTAGAATTCTTAGATCGTAAGAAATTAAAATGTTGGCTCTTCCCTAACACCATCATGTGAATAACGACACTGTGCACATGAAATTCTCATTCCTTGATATCCTGTCACACTAGGCTCCACATAATGATTTTGATGCCAATAGAAAATTATTTAAGTTGTTATTGTTACTATATAATGCCAAAAAAAAGTCCTTCAAAAGCTGGTGCAAAAAATATGGAAAAAGTAAAATGTAGTACCAATCTGGATGTAGAGATCCCGTGAAATGATACATGTTTTCTGGAACCATCTATAATATGATTATAAAAGGAAGGAAGTGTGGATAACTCAACTGTTGTAAACAATGTAAAAAAACAAAAGCAATACAGAATGCTGGGGAAAAACAGGCTACAAAACATTTCCAAAATGTCAACTTCTCAATGCTTGTGTCTTTTTATCGCAGTGTGACAGCTAGATTTGATCACAGGTCCTGACGGAAGAGAGCTCTGGCAAAGAATGCTGAAGCCCCTGTTAACCAGTCGGAGAGCAGGGCTCTGTGGGAGGAACTGCACTGTTCATCCTTCATAATCTGCTATTAGACTCATCTCTCCTCAACGGACGGGGTGCCCAGGAGCTGGACTCTACCCTCCAGTCAGACACACTCCCATGGCTTAACGTCCTCAAAGCACCACGTGGCTTATATTCTAACTTGAAGTACACCTGAGGGATTGTGTAATAAAATGTGAAATAAATGTACACTGGGATTGTTTTTCTCCACTTAAAAAAAGGGATGGAATGTTTTTGTCAAAGTATTATCCAGAAAGAACAGCAGCACAGGAAAATGGAGGTAATACATTTTCTATTTTGCTCTATAAATTTAGACTAAGTGAATTACCTATTTTCAAATGAATGAATTGTGAAAATTTCTAAGCAACTTATTTCATGAATGTAAAACATCATCACACATTTTTTTATTGCTACTGAAGAAAGTCTCCATTGGTACCACAGTGTATGTAGGAAATATCACCCTGAAACCTTCTGAAAACATTTTTTTCTATTACCAATAAGATAACATACAATTCTAACCAGACAATGTTAAAGTGATTTGAAAAACAGAGTTGAGACCAATGTTTGAGTAACTGTTTTGTTCTACCACCAGTAAATTAAGATTTCATTAACTGCTTGGTGACATTAATTGAAATAAGAAACTCAGTATATTTTTCTCTGGCTTCTTTCACAGACACATGATTCCAGTTAAGTATCTAATTATATGCTTATTTACATAAAGCCCATATACTATTTGTTTTTGGTGGTTTGTAGAGCTTGGACACAGGGCCTAGGTGCTGTTCCTACACAATTTTGCTCAAGGCTAGTGTTCTACCACTTTGAGCCACAGCTCCCCTCTCGTTTTTGTTTTTTGGTGGTTAGCTGGAGATAAGAGTATCACGGACTTTCCTGCTTTGAACCAGTATCCTTAGACCTCAGATTCCTGAATAGTCAGGATTACAGACATGAGCCACCAGCACCAGGCAGCCTATTCTGTTTCAGACCTTACACATGACCTATTTAAACAGTTTACCCAATATAGTCAAGGCATAAAAGGAAGGAAGAAGTAGATGTTACAGACTTATTTACTACCTGAAAATGACACTTTGTAAGTCAAAGGGGTATTCGATGATCCCTGTGGTGGGGACTCGAACTCTAAGCACATCCTGTTGCGTAGGCAGGTAAGAAGGGTCAGCTACGCGGTCCAAGTCATTCAGATAGCTAGAGGGAAGACACAATGAGAAGGTCAGTGACACCATCATTCCCAATCTACAGAGAGGGAGGAAAACGAGCCATAGAGCAGTGGAGAAGGGATAGAAGGACATCAGGAAGTGGCAGAGAAGTTTGGGAAATAGATAAAGTCAAGAGGAATGGTATCCATTCATGGATTACCTACTTGCCCTATTTCCATTTTTTCCCTTACTATTAATCAGAACCCATGCAAAAAGTAAAAGGGAGAGGGAGAGAAACGTTAAGAAGTTCCAACTGGTCTCCTACCCTCTATCTGTTTATCACGTCTGGTTAGGGAAGCAGAAGTTTAAAACAAATAGCCTTGATTTATTTATACAAAAGTAATCTGTAAAAATAAACATATAATAAAGCTGTACGCAAAGTCAGGTTCTTCTCCCCACCCCCCACTTTCCACTTTCCTGTAGAACCTCAGTGTTTTCCTGGAATGATTTTATTCCCTTAAGAGTAGAAAACAGCATGTGTTCTCAATTCTGTCCAAACCCCAGGTCATTCATGATTAGTTTGAAGCCATGAGATTTCTAGTTTATAACAGTAACAAAGCCTAAAGTCAGATATTCTCATCACATCTTAAGTTTAAATTTATCTACTTATATGGTATTTTTCCATTCCCTTAAGACATTACTTTGAAATGATTTTGGACCCACAAGTTACAAAATTATTAAAGAACTGTCCTATGTCCTTCACTCAGCTTTCTCTAATGAAAGCTTTTAAACAACCATAGTACCTTACCAAAACTGTCATCACTGACAGAATACTATTAACTAAACTACAGCTCTCACTTGGAGCTTGGCCATTGTTACATATATACTCATACACATGTGTGTATATATATGCCTAAGTATGCATGTGTATATACAGGTATGTATGTATATCATAGGTATGCATGTACTCGAGGGGGTTATAAAATTCTGCAAGATTTTATCACATCTGGAGACCCATGTAATTACTTCTATGATCAGGACACACAACTGTTAAGTCACCAGACAGAAACTACCTCATGTTGTTCTGACAGCCCTAACCCCCTGCAACCATCAAGGTCAATTCTCATCAGTGTGTAATTCTGCTATTTCCAAAGTCATCTAGTTCACTCATTTCTCATTCTCTCAAAGTGGAAGTTATATTTGCAATGTTGAGAATGACATAATTTGCTGGAACTGATGAACAACCAGGTAAAAGTAACTGTCCTGAGAAGTATCTTTATGATTTGAAGGAGTAAGTATGTTCTTCTCTGCACAGGAAAAGATGTTTTTAAAACACACAACAACAAAATGTATACATGAAAGGAAAAACTTGTAGCTGGGAGCTGGTGGCTCATGTAGGTAATCTGGTAATCTCAGGAGGCTGAGATATGAGGATCAAGGTTCAAACCAGCCCTGGCAGAAAAGTCTGTGAGACTCTTATTTCCAATTAACCATTAGAAAATTGGAAGTGAAGTTATGGCTCAAAATGGTAGAGTGCTAGCCTTGACCAAAAGAGCTCAGGGACAGCGCCCAGGCCCCGAGTTCAAGTCCCATGACCACCCCTCCACCCCCGCAAAGTAACTTGTGAATAAGTTTTAGAGGAAAAGGGAGCCATTACTAGAAGGAAGGAATTAACCAGGCACTGGTGGATCATGCCTATAATTCTAGCTACTCAGGAAGCTAAGATCTGAAGTTTATGGTTTGAAGCAGGCAAATCTGAGACTTTTAGCTAAAAGTGTAGATCATTACATTAGGTGCAAAAGATTCATGGAACCATAAAATAGTTAAGTATGGCTTTAACAAAGAAATAAAATTACTGCCTCTTTGGAGGTGTATCAATTTTTTAAGACAAAAATGTCTTAAAATGCCTAGCACGGAGTCGGTGACTCATGCTTATAATTCTAGCTATTCAGGAGGCTGAGATCTGAGGGTCACAGTTCAAAGCCAGGCAGGGCAAGAAAGTCTGTGAGATTCTTATTTCCAATTAACCACCAAAAACCTGGAAGTGGGCTGTGGCTGCAGTGGTCTACCACTAGCTTTGAATGAAAAAAAGCACATGGACAACAGCCAGGCCCTGATTTCAAGCCCTAAGAACAACAACAACAACAACAATACACACACACACACACACACACACACACACACACACGCACGCGCACGTCAGCCTAGATGTCCTACTGCAAAGTGACTAGCTGATTTTCTACAGTTTCATTCCAGAAACACTGATGATTCTCTAGTTGGCAATTAGTACTCTATTGACTAACAGGAAAAATCTCATTTTGAAATCCACAAGGCCATCATTTATTCAACTACTGTATATAAGAACTTACTTCAGAGAGATCAAAGAATTTTAAGTTGAGCCTGGTGAGCTGGCTCAGAAATGGTCTGTCCAGTCCTATTCACTTTCTGCCTCACAGGAGCCAGAATGGAGGGCTGTTCATTCTTGTGTAGAGGTGACACAGTGTTCTTGGGGTACAGGGAAACTGGCTTTGTTTCCTGAAGGTGAGGCAAGCAATTTACTTGTTTTCACTCCATTTTAAAGCAGAGATATGTGTTTGCCAAGCAGAAGTGAAAGAACTAATACAAAAAGTAGGAGATTCTCTGTCACAGATTCTCAGTTTACAAGGATGCACTGAGATCTCTGAAAAAACAAACCTAAATACAATGTAGTTGGGGTATATAAGAACAGCTGGAAAAACACTTGTAAGGGCTGGGAGGTTTCCCTAAAAAAATCGCTGGTGGCATCTCTCCATGAATCCAGGGCACTACTTAGTGAATATGAGCTACATCTCTAGGAACAACCTTCCCCCTGCATCTTCCCTTTGTTCTTTTCAATGGTGGTGCAGTTCACACAGAATAATCATACACCCAATGAGTTCTTGCTGCTCGCCAGATTCTGTTCTATGTGTTCACTGCCAGACATCAATATATTTCACAGTAAGAGAATAGACTTTGAAAATGTTCCATACATTTTTGATTTAGTAAGTGATAGCTCTTGCTGAATAGACATTATTTTTAGATTTGCCTCCATTTGTACTTTCTGTGTTTCACATTTGTTTAGGAGGGGAAAAAAAGCCACTCTGTTCCCTTAGAAATGGAGTTCTGGTGTGCTAAGACAAATGAATCTTCATTTGTTGATGCTTGTCACATTTTGAGAACAGGAAACAGAATCATCTCTGAATTGTCCTTCCCATGGAAGCGTTTCGTATTCTGATGAAAAACTGTGGTGGGATGTGGGGGATGGGTTCACACGGGATCATTCCATCCATTTCACCTTGTAACAAGAAACGCCAAGGCCTGAACAAATTTATATTGCCAAGTAAATTCAGAGAGTTAATTATAGCCGTCATTTGTTTTGTAGCAATGATTCTGAGTGGCTGCTGAGGTCATTCTCAGGGTGTTGCCATGGTGATGGGCACAGGTACATTTCCAAGGCAATATATGTGTAACAAGTAGCTGGCAGTAGCTCTCTCTTGATGGGAGGGAGCGGAAGCTGCGATGGCGTACAAGGGACTTCCTTAACTGTCCAGGAGAGAAGCCGTGTCTGAGAGCTTGTTAAAAACAGGCTTAGCTGTTTATAGTCACCTTTCTCCAATCTCTTCGTAAGGATTTAATGATTTTTTTCCCAATGCATTAAGACATTTAATAACTGGTAATTTGATAACTTACTTCAAAAATTGAAAACTCCAAGCCTTCCACATGAGTTGGCTCAGTTGGCTACAGCTCTCACTCTTAGTGGCCCTGGCTCATGGGGAGCTTTATCCACAGCTGTGTCTCAGCACTTCGCTGCAAACCTGGTCATCCACATTAAAACTACCTTATGGAAAATGCCACAGAAACTCTTTGGGAGCAAACAGAGGAGTAGGGAGGTTGTAAGCCCCTCATCAGTATGTAATTATCTTTCTGGGTAATTACTGGCCTGCATCATGTAAGGACTAAATCCAAAATTAAAATGCCTCTGACAAATCTCAAGGCAACACAGAAGAGACAGGCATCATTGGTTTAACTTCATTCAGTACATGTGCTTCCTGCTCTTTCTTAGGTTCTGGCCACAGAATGATATAATTTGCATGCCCATTTTATACTCATCAATGTCAAGTTTACAGGCCTTGGAATGCCATCTAAGCCAGTGCAAACCGAGGAAGCGGCATCAGATCAACAGACTTCTCTGATACACTCTTTTTAACAGAAGAAAGAAGGCAACAATAAGACTTCCTTTCTTACAATGAGCAAAACTCAGAGTTCAACACTTCAGGGACTGTGGTAGAGCTAAGATTCACTGGTCCTGCATGGACTTCACCAAGATGAGGGAGGAAAAGAGCTCCATAAAACTGAGAAATTCGTTTTCAACACAGCGTCTTGTACGTCTCATTGTTGCAATGGGTCCACCTGTATCCTTATTTAAACATTTTGTTTTTTCCCTTCCCGTCCCCAAATTATACCAACATCAAATACAGTAAAAACAGGGGTGATACTGCGAGGGAGGGACATAAAAAGCAACAACAACAAAAAAATCACACGGTACTTTATAAATGTTAGAAACAACAGCCAGAAAGAAAAAAACTTGTGTCCTTATCTTGGGGTTCATTTCGCTAACTTTATCTTATCTGAGCTTTTCTGTTTGTCCCAGACATATACTAGTTATTGCAAATAAGGGAAACCATGGGACCTATGCTTCTTTGGGCCTGGCTTACTTCACTTAATATAATTTTCTCCAAGTCTTTCCATTCTCTAACAAATGGGGTGATGTCATTCTTTCTGATGGAGGCATAGAATTCCACTGTAGGGGTGTGTGTGTGTGTGTGTGTGTGTGTGTGTGTGTACATACATAATTTCTTGATCCATTCATTTACTGAGGGGAATCTGGGTTGGTTCAATATCTTAGCTATGAAAAATAATGCTGATTTACAATTTAGGCATGGGGGGGCGGTGTAGTTGAGGAGGTGGGAGGGATGGGATGGTAGGGGAAAAACAGAGGAGGAGGAAACAATGCTGGATAAGAAATGTACT